CCTGAGCCGAGGACGGACGGTCTCTCTTCCAGGCTGGAGAGGTGTGACGTGAACGTGGTGGAGCTGCTGAGACAGAGCTCTGGATGGGTGTTTGAGAACCCCTGTAAGGCGACGGCCTCCGCGGTCTCATGCGGGACGTGGGGTGTGGGGCGCGGGGCGGTGGGGGATGGGCTGGCTTTCCAGGCCACTCCCCAATCCCCAGTGGGCTCTGCCACTGGCAGCCTGGGCTGGCGTCCCCTGCCGCCTGGCCAGTGCCATGGGCTGGGGAGCAGGCCCATCCCCGAGACTTCCACTAGAAAGTGAAAGGACACATTTTGTCAGAGGTTGGAGGACAGAGGGCTCACCCTGGCGTGCCCCGCGGTGACCCCGGGCCTCCGTCTGGGGTGGTGCCCCCGAGGGGACATGATCGGTGGAGTGTTCCCCCCGGCCTGAGCTGGGACAGGCACTCACCGGCCATCCGTGCCTGAGGCCCTCGGTGTGCTGGCTCTGGGGACCAGGGGACAATGCTTCCTGGGGGGCCTCTCGTGACGTCGGATGATCCCCCCTGGGGGGTTCACGTATTTCCTAGCCCTGGGAGTGTTGGACTACCGGGTGTTGGGCACCAACTTCAGGGACTACGCCATTGTGTTCACCCAGCTGGAGTTCAAGGATGAGGCTTTCAACACCGTGGAGCTGTACAGTAAGTGGTGGAGACCACGGGCCGGCCCCACGAACTCCCTGCCATGGGTGGCCATGCTGGGCATCCTCCCACTGACTGTGCTGAGCCCTGTGCCCCCAGGGTCCCAGAGCAGCATCCCTGCCCTTCGGCCCCCTGCAGGAGGGGTGGCTGGGGCACGGGGCACATGTGGTGAGGGCTCCCCTCCTGCCCGACAGGCCGGACGGAGCTGGCCAGCCAGGAGGCCCTGCGCCTCTTTGCTAGGTGGAGCAAGGGCCTGGGCTTCCTGTCTCAGCAGCAGGCCGCACTGCAGCCGGACCGTGAGTGTCACCCGATGCCCACGGGCCCCCGGCTGACTTCTGCTGGTCTCGGGGTCCCGCCGGGCCGCAGGGAGTCAGGCAGGGCGGGGGTGGGGAGCTCTACATGGAGTCACCTGCTCCTGCACAAAGCCAGGCCTGCAGGGCCTGCCCCATCTCGGGCGAGGCCGTGGACATTGCGGGGTGGCCACGGTGTGTGCTGGGAATGTGGGTGCCCATCCTCACGACTCCTCTTCCCCCCCAGTCACCTGTGCGCACAAGGCTTTCCAGGTAAGCCGCCTTCCCGAGCATCACCCCAGATCCTCCACCCCAGAGCTCCGCCCCGTGAAGGGCCGGGGACCGGGACGGGGCAGACACCCCTCGAGGTGAATCTGGGGTCCCCCAGTGCTCTTCTTGGTTTTCAGTGAATGCGTCGACCTCCGGGGGGACTGTGCCCGCCGAGTCCTGTGAGGCTGGCCAGGTGCTGGCCTCCTTGCTCAGCCGCCTGGGAGCTTGGTGTGGGGCGGGCTGCTCTCAGGACTCACACTGCAGTTCCAAATAAAACGATCCCACAAGGCCCTACAGATGCCTCTCACCTGTGTGCCGAGGTGGACGGCAATGTCAGACGGGGCGCTGCCCTCTTGGGGCTCTGATCGGTGCAGGGGGAGGAGGTCGGCGTGGGGCTCACCGAGGGCTGGGCCATACAGCACAGAACCAGTCTGGGTGGGGGACACGTGGCCGTGGGTCTTGGCTCCGGAGTGGGGGCTGGGCTGGGGGCAGCTGCTCCTCAAGCAGAGGTCACCACAGTCCCTGGGCTGGAGGGAGGACTGTCTGTCTGAGTTAGAGCAGACCCTCGGGGGTCTGGACAGGTGCGGGCTGACGCAGTGGGCGTGGGTGCCCACCAGGGGGCGTGGCTGCGGTGCCACCGTGTCCAGGGCACAAGAGTGTGGCTTTCCCAGGCCTGGGGCTTTGGGGCCAGGGCAGGGGGCAGGATTCCAGAGGGCCCGAGCCTGTGGGTCCTCCTGTGGTCTGGTGGGGCCGTGCCTGACGTCGTGGCGGAAGCTGGGCTGGGGGCTGCCCATCACTCACGGAGAGGGGCGGTGCGTGCAGGCTACGGGTGGGCAGCTCACACACATCCAGCAGCCCCGTCCGTCAGCACCTGCTCGGGACAGAGAGCCCTGGTGCCACGCTGGTGCCATCTGAGCCCGTCTTCCCCGTGGTCCTGCTTCTCACGTGCAAGTATCCCTGTGAAGTGACTCACAGGGACGCCGCCCGGCTGCTTGCCTCTCTTCCGGGGGGGCTAGGATGGAAGGCCCAGGGGTCTCACAGGGGAACACGATGGCCTTCACATTCAGGCAGCACCCGCCAGGCCGAGCCCCTGGGCCGCCCACCTGTGTCCCAAAGCCCCTCTCCCTCCCCATTGGCCCACCCCAGGCTGGCTCAAGGCTCCGGGTTGGCTGGACGGCCACGGCAGGGTCAGGTGGGTGGGGAGACTTAAACTCAGTGCCGCGGTGACCGAGGAAGGAGGGTGACAATGGGACCAGGGTGGCTGACGTGTGTGCTGGTCTTGGCGCTTATGCTGGCTATGGGGTCCCGGCCACAGGAACAGCTACCCAGGGAGTCCCACAGCCTCAACTGGAAAAGGTGCGCCACACACCTGCGGTCCCCAAGCCAGACAGGCAGTCCGACCGGGGCCAGGGACGCAGTGTGTGTGGTGGCTGGAAGACCACTCCCTGAAAATCTCCAAAGGGCCAACCTGGAACAGGGGGCAGTGCCGTGAGGGCGGAAGGAGTTTCAGGCCCTGGCCTCTCCCCGAGCAGCTGGTGGCCACGCAAGAAGCGGGAGGGCCGAGGGCCCCAGGCAGGTGCAGGCTCAGGGCACCAGAGATGCTAGGTGGGCAGAGGCCGAACGAGCAGAGCGTGTTCCGGAACAACGAGATGGCTGGCAGGTGGAAGGTTCTAGCGGGGGTGGCCGTGGGCACTGACTGCCCGGGAATGTGGGTTTGTGGCAGGAAGTCAGAGGGATGGGGCCAAGGGCCGAGCTGGAAGGAAGGGGGAGGCCTTGCACAGGAAGGGAATTCCAGCACACGGTAACCACGGCCCAGCCCTCGGGGCCCCAGCCCGCCTGGCACCTGCCCGCCAAGGCCCAGAGGGGCAGCCGGGGCCCTGCGCAGGGGCTGTGCCGGCCTGTTGGTGCTGGACCCGGGCCGGGCCTCAGGCCCGTGTCAGTGTCGGGTGGGTTCCTGGGGGCCCAGCGGGGAGCCTGGCACAGGCAGCTTTGCCAGCACGCTCTCCACAGTTTTCAGGGTTCTGGTACATTCTGGCTGTCGCCTCTGAGGGCCAGAGATTCTTGCCAGGCAGAGACAGGAGGAAGCTGGGGGCATCGATGGTGGAGGTCCTCAAAGCGGGCCAGCTGAAGGTGGTCCTTGCCTTCAGCCGGTGAGTGGACCGGGGTGGGGGCCCAGCACACTCTTCACGGAGCCCTGACCACAAACAGCCCAGACATCTCCCCGTCAAGAGGGGAAAGGGAGCCGGGGGTGCGGGGAGCCAGACCCATGATCATCTGCACATCTAACAGATCATCTCTGGGGCCCCGAAACCCATCCTGCCCCTAAAATTCAAGGCCTGATTTTGGGAGAGGCCACCATGTACACGGGAGCACTCGGCAGAGAGTGGGAGTTCTGAGGGTTTCTCTTAAGCTGTGGGTCTGGCCCTGCTCCAAACTGGAAAATTCCAGAAAACCAGAGCCAACAAAGGGCTCCCGCCTTGCCCCCTCTAGGTCACAGGGGTGCCAGTCACACACGTTAATTCTGCGGAAAGATAGGAAAAAGCCGATGTTCAGGAATCCTTGTGCGTATGAAGGCCCGGGGCCTGGAGAGAAAGTCCTGGGGGTGGGCGTGACCCGGCTTCACGGCCACAGGCCCGGGAGATGCCACTCCTCCGTCCCAGGGCTGGGTGGATGGGAGAGACAGCGGCCCCCAGGGCGGGCAGGCAGGCCACGGTCCCAGAGCCCACAAGCATGCAAGTGCCCGTGGCCTAGGCCTGGAAGGGGGTTGGGTGTGTGGGAGGGACTCCTGACCCTTCCCAGTGGCCCCTGCTGTGCAGGCCTGATCGGGCGGCCCCACACTTCTCTTCCGGTCCAGTGAAGGGGGTCGAGGGCTTCCACGTGCTGTTCACCGACTACAGCTACGGCGTGGTCTACGTGCGCCTGGGCCGGGCCGGCCGGACCTCTAAGACCCTGCTGCTCCTCAGTGAGTCCAGCGGCAACATCTGGGGAGTGGGCGTGCAGGGTGCAGGTCAGGTGGGGGACGGAGGGGCGACAAGCTCAGAGGGGAAGGTATGGAGGCCGCTGCCTCAGCTCGGGCTCCCTGACAGAGCGCCACAGACCGCACCGCACGGGCGCCCGCGATGGACATTGATTCTCACGGCTCAGCGCGCCGACCTGGTGGCTTCCAGGGAGGCCCCCCCTTCCTGGTTTGCAGATGGCCGCCTTCTCACTATGTCAAGTGTCGGGGAGAGGGCTCTGGTGTCTTCCTCTTCTTATACGTCCACTAACCCCATAATGAGCACCCAGCTAACCCCACACTCCTCCCAAGTCCCAGGACCTCACACCATCCCTCTGGGGCTCTGATGGATGAATCTGGGGGGACACGAAGACACAGTCCGTTCCTATCACGGCCCTTGCGCTGCGGGCTGGCAGGAAGTGGGAGGTAGGAGGACAGGGCCGGGACACACACAGCAAATGGGGTGGCCAGGTGGGCGGGCGGAGCGTGGCACCTGGACGGGGGGACCAGGTGGGCAGGTCTCTGGTGTGGCTGCCACGGGGCTGAATGGGGGCGGCCAGTGCACGGGCGGAGCCCAGAGGGCAACAGGTCAGGAGGGGGACGGACCCTCTGCATGGATGGAGGGGACCCCCCCCAAGCTGAGGGCAGGATCGGGGGAGCAGGGGGAGTTGGTGAAGGGAGGGCGGGCGGGGAGCTGCTGTCCAGGGAGGGGTGGGGGGAAGGGGGCACAAACCCACTTCCGGGCACCGAGGCCTGCAGGACACCCATCGGAGAGGTCGGAGGGGTCCCGTGGAGTCTCCGTGGAGGAGGGCGTGGCCAGGAGCGCAGCAGGAGGGTCATCATGCTCTGGCCGAGGGGTCCTGTGAGCAGAGAGGGCTCCCCAAGTGGCCCTGTGTGGTGCCCACCTCGGGGCCACACCGAGGACACCCACCTGCCTCGGAGCACAGAGGGGACAGAAGCACACTCCCCATCACCTGCCTCTGCCGCCTCCCTTGGCAGCACCCTGGCTTCTCTGTCCTGCCAGCTCGGAGGGTGCTGCGGTGGCCACGGGCTCGGGTACGGCCCCAGATGGCCAGAGCTGGGGACTCTGACTTTGTGATTCTGCTTCCAACTGCAGGCAGACAGGACACGTCCAGCTTCCCGAGCATGAAAAAATTCGTAGACATATGTGAGATTTTGGAGCTCGCAAACGGTGTGACTGTTCTCCCAAAAGATGGTAACAGACGGCCACGGGCCCTCCTGCGCAGGCCAACGGCACGCCCGGCCCCCATCCATCCCGTAGAGCTCAGTGCCTCTCTCCCTCCTGCAGCCTCGTGTGCCCACACCATCCTGCCCTGAGAGCCAGCGTCCACCCACCCGTCCCCTCGGGGCTCCACCCGCGGTCCCCCTTGACCCGGGGAACATCGCTCAAGACTGCAGGTCTGCACATCCAACGGCCTGTTGAGATGCGTTCGATGACCCCAGGCCTCTGATGGGGTGAAGTCCAGGGCCATGGCTGTAGCCCAAGAGGGATCCTTTATGATCTTGGAGAGATGGGGGTAGGAAGGGGGTAGGAGGGCAGGTGTTAACCAGGCAGGGGGATGCCCGACCGGGCCCATTCTGCCCACGCCCTCCAGACGACACGGTGGAAAGGGGCTGCCACACTTCTCTCCTGGGAAATAGACTGAGGCTATTGGACCAATGTCGTCCTTCTGTATGCCTCCTCCACAGCGCGTCTGCCACCAGTCCCCGTGGGCCCTGACGTCCTACACTTCCTCAGGGAGTCATTCACTTATTCGCCCAACATTTCTAAGCACCTGTGACATGCCAGGCACGTGCTAGCTGCCGGGGAGAGGCAAACTGGCAAATGTGGTTTCAGAGATCTGATGCCAGGACAGGCTCGCACCAGCACAGCCGCCCATGCACATGACCGCAGGACCCCCAAACGGAGATGCCACATGGGGGGCTGGAGTTCAGAGGACAGAGAGACGTGGGAGCCGGACACGTGCATTCACCAGTATGTACTTGGCGATGCAATTCGCTGGTGCGGTTAGGGCCACCCAAGGAGAACACAGTAGAATGGCATCTGTCGGCTACTGCCACGTAAGGACCGCCCACAGGGTCTCTGTGCTATGAACCGACGCGAATGTACTTAGCTTTCCCGTCTGGGGCAGCGTGGGGTCAGGTGGTGCAGGCCGGCCCTGCTGGGCGGTGGGGGTCTCCGCAGCTTGCGCCCGCATTGGGGGGTGGCTGGCCGTGACTGGTTCGGGCCGGCTCTGCTGCCATTGTCCCCCTCCCACCGAGGGCGGCCACGTCCTGCTTGTCTCACGGCCACGCCGAGGCCACAGCAGGCGAGGCCACAGCAGGCTGGGAGGAAGGGCTCAGCACAGGACTGCATTTCTGCCTCAGCGGCTAAGTGAAGCATGTCGAGGGGCCAAACCCCAAGTGCAGAAGGGCCTGCGGGATGCATGTTGCTTCCTTGGCAGGAGAAACCGCACGTTCCCGGCCAAGGGTGCAGGCACAGGAAGACATGGCCCGTCCGGCCCCCGAACCCTGTCTGCAGCAGCATCGTGCTCTGCCCCGGGAGTCAGGCCAGGTGTCCTCACCCTGTGCCCCACCCCAGAGCCCCACGTCCCCTCTGATGGGGGGCAGTAGGATCGAATCCGGGGTCTTGTGACCACAGAGGCCCCTCGAGACCACACGGCATGAGGCCTAGGTGGATCCCCACGTGCTCAGCATCCGTGGGGGAAGAGATAGCAAAGCCCCAGGGAGTACCAGTGGTGGAGCGGGCCCGGAGTGGCCACACGCAAAGCAGCTCAGGGTCTGGCCGAGGCAGCACGGGGACTTCGTTCCTCCAGGATGTGAATGGTTCCCGGCCCATTGTTTCCTGGCTCTGCCCGCTGAGACCCCCCTTACTCTCCACGCTTGTGGGGAAGGCACTGGGGGGCAGGCCTGTCTGCACAGAGCACGCCCCGGAGGCCCTTCGGAGCTCCGCTCTTTGAAACACTGTGGGTTTCTGTGTAGGCAAGCCTGCTTCGTTCCAGCTGCCAGAAACCTCACCCACAGTTCCTGAGGCCACGGCCTCTTTCTAGATAGTTCCTTATTAGAATGGGGAGGATACCAGATCCCTGAGGGACAGGGTCCCCACACCCTAGATGCTCTCTGCACAGCTTAAGAACTGACCATGCACACCAAAATTCTCCCAGAGTTCTGACAAAGACACGATCCAAAGTGTGCTTGCAAGAACAGACCTTCTGTATCTCACAGTTCCTGTATCAGAATCCCGGCTCCGCTCAGGGGGAGCCTCTGCCTCCAGGTCCCCCAGGAGGCAGGGGCTGCAGCCTCCACTCAGGCTCGACCGGGGCAGGCTCTGTCGCCAAGACCGCTCACGTGGTATCGGCAGGATTCGGTTAGAATGGGGCTCAGGGCTTTTCTGTCAGCTCCAGCCCTGGATCCTGCCCCTTCTCCTGCCCCTGCCTGCACCCTCTGTGGGTTCTTGGGACTGGGGTCTCCCAGGGCAGCTCATACTGTCTGGTCTTGCTTCTCCGAAGCACAGAATCAAAGAGAGACACACAGACAGACAGCATCACAGAGACGGAGACAGAGAATGAACACAGGAGAGAGGGAACCAGGAGAAGTCACACTTTACTCCAACAGCTTGGAAATGACATCCCAGTATTTTGCCCCATTATCTTCCTGAGAGCGTGGTCATACAGGCCATCCACCCTGGAGGGGAGGGGATTCCACAGGGATGTGTGAGCAGGATTCGGGAATGCCCGGGAACCACTGTGGGGATTGCCCAGCACGTGGGCGCAGACTAGGGCCTGGGCCTGAGCCTAAACCTAATGGGAGCCCCTGGAAGTCTGTGTCACCAGGGGACAAGGTCAGAATCCGTTCATTGCAACCTTCCCTCAGGGGCTGGGACACAGGCAGGAGGGGAGTGGCTTTGCCTGGACCCCAAACAAAACCAGGCCCCTCTGAGCTGTGCTCCATGCCCCGCCCAGCCCCTGGCTCATCCTTGCATTGTCCACTGTGCACCAGCCTCCTGTGATAGCAGGTACGGAACATGTGTAGACGTCCTACCCCTGATGGCGTCCCTAGAAGTAGAAGCCAGAACACCCCACTGTGCAGATGGGGAGCCTGGGGAGGCCCTGAGAGGCACAGGGTCTCTCCATGGTCACAGCCCTGGGCACGCGCAGGAGCCCAGGCTGAACCCAGCTCTGTGTCCTCACACAAGGGCTGCACCCAGGCCTTGCGGGGGCTGTGGGTGCACTGTGAGGGTGTCACTGTATGGATGGGGCATGGGGGGAGGGTGAGCATTGAACAGCTGGGGGAGGGGCCCTCGGGGGTGGGGCTCTTGTGTGAGGAGGAAGTTGGGTAAGGGGACCCCGGCCGTGGTGACCTCATTTCCCTGACAACAGAGCCCATCAGAATTTGGAACCCAGGTAACCAGGAACCCACATTCCAGAGACAGCCCCCGGCCCAGCTCATTTCGTTAGAGATCCTCAAACAAGATGTTCACATGCTGCCTTCCGAGGTCCGGAGCCTGCAGGTTGAAGAAAGCGCGCCCTGCGTACGCCGTCTCCACACGATGTCCTGTCAGGGCTCCCCACCGCCTCTGGCCGTTTGGCCGGAAAGACCAGAAGGTGACACCAGGAGGCCCGGAGCCGGCCACCCAGCCCCACAGGGTCTAATCCACCTGAGCAGCCCCATGTCCCCACCCGTGTGTGTGTGTGCGTGCGTGTGTGTGTGTGTGTGTGTGAAGAGGGGTCATGTGGGGTGGGCCAAGCCCCTTCAAGAGCAGGCTGATGAGGGGTCGGATACCCAGTGGGCAGGTCGTGTTCAAGGTCAAGGCTGGCTGGGTGGGTCGGGGTGTTTGTAGATGCAAGCTTCTGCCCATGGTTTATCCCAATTGCCCTGCGGGGATGGGTCACTGTCTAGTGTGCAGGGCTGTGCACGCACAGGTGTGTGTCAGATCTGCGAGCAGCAGTGGGACTGCGCAGGGGGACAGGGAGGTTGGCCGGGCAGGGCTGTGATGCCTCTGGGTCGGCTACCCGTCCCTGTCTTTGCAGACCACGGATGAAATCGGGAGGAGGCTTGCGGATACCCGTACCATTTCCGGGACTTGGGGCGTGGCCCCACAGGGGTCCCCAGGAGCAGGTGCTGGGGATCGCGGGGGAAGGCCTCCGACACCACCCAGACCACTGTCCCTGGTGGTCATTGACTGGATTGTGCTCCAGGAACAGAGCCCACGGAGACCGAGCTCGAGGCTGAGAAGCCTGGGGCTGGGTGCCTGTGGGTGTGGCTGGCCCCACAGGGAGGAGCCCCCAGAGGCTGGTGTGGGGCCAGGAGCAAAGACTGGGTGCAGAGCACCCAGCGGGTGGACTGCAGTCGGGGAGACGTCCCGGGGAGGGCTCCTTCCTGGCTGCGGCTTCTCTGGGAGGCCCTGGGCTGGGCTCTGTCTTGCAAAGGCCCACGGAGAGCAGGCACAGGGTGAGCTTTTCTCCTCTCACAGCTGTTCCACCATCAGCAGCTGTGCAGGGAGGGGTGGTGCCTGCAGAGACTTCAGCAGGAGACCGGGAGCCAGCAGGTGACCCGGCACCTGCCCACGGAGAGCCTGACGTGGACCAGGAAGGGCCTGCTGGAGAACCTGTGCCCGGAGAGCCTGCCCCTGTTCTTGCCTCTGTTCCTGCCAGAGCCGGTGCCCCTGCGCCTGCCCCGAACTGTGGCCCTGCTCCTTCCCCAGACCCAGCTCCTGCCCTGGATCCTGACCCGTCCCTACCCCTGCCCGTGCCCCTGTCCTTGCCCCTGACCCAGATACTGCCTTGGTTCCTGTACGTGCCATTGCTGCAGACCCTGTCCCTCCCCTTGCACCTGCCCCTTCCCCTTCCCCTGCTTGTGCTCCTGTTCCGGCCCCTGACCCAAGTCCTGCCCCTTCCCCTGCCCCTGCCTGTGTCCCTGTTCTTGCCCCTGACCCAGTTCTTGCCGCTACTCCTGTCCCTGCCCCTGCCAGAGCCAATGGCCCTTCCCCTGCCCCTGCTCGTGCCCCTGCAGCTGCCCCTTCCCCAGCACCTGCCTGTGCACCTGTTCTTGCCCCTGCTCCAGATCCTGACCCAGCTCCGGCCCTGGATCCTTCCCCTTCTCCTGCCCCTGCACCTGCCCCTTCCCCTACGTGTGCACCTGTTCTTGCCCCTGACCCAGCTCCTGCCCTGGATTCCTCTACCTGTGTCCCTGCCCCTGCATGTGCACCCATTCCTGCCCCTGCCGCTGCCCCTGCCCCTGCACCTGTCCGTTCCTCTACCTGTGTCCCTGCCCCTGCCCCTGCCAGAGCCGATGCCCCTTCCCCTGCCTGTGTCCCT